AAAAAAAAGAAAGAAACATACAAAAAAATCTTAAGATATCAGAATTCACATTTTTAGGTTTTACAGATGCATGATGATATAGTTGAAATATATTGTGAAAAATGCATAAAGTTATTTAATAAGATTTCTCAGCTCACCTGTAACTTCCCGTTTTAGGGTTTTTTTCTGATGCTCCTGAAATCACAGTACAATTTATCAATATTTGTTTGCAATGAAAGTTCAAAACGTGTTTGAAATAGTTTCAGCCCATTAGTTCATGTAAGTGACGTCACCGATTGACCCCACAGTGCAGACTTTTAGGTTAAATTAATTAGCTTATAGTTACTTCCATTTATCTATTGACAAAGTACCAGCAAAACATTTACAAACTATCAAAACCGCTCATCTACACATAAAATGTGATTAAAAGCTCAAACTTTCATTAATAAGAGCTCAAATCTCAAAAAGCTCAAATCTATAGTTAGCTTACCTCTAATATAGCCTCTATAGCTAGTTAACGGTTGTGATGCTAACGGTCATGCATTTTAAAAATATATTTTCAATATATTTAACAGTGTTTCACATATATGTGAATATATTACCTTTCTGTATGGGAAAACATTGGGATTTTACTCAAAAATATTTGAAATGGATTTTAAATGTGGGTCAAGATCGGCCATACTTATGTGGCCCACATATCTATATTTGACATCTGGGCCAAATACTACATTTGACATCTGGCCCATGTCTTGTGTGCCATCTTAAACCCGGTACCATCTCTGCCAATCCCGGACCATGTTTGGCCCACATGATGTATGCCAGTGCCGGATGAATGCCAGCTGCATGCCAAATCTGGGCCAAATTTGTTTGCTGACTGGGGTGTTGAAGACTCGCTAAAAAAGAAACAAAGTACATTTATTCACATATTGTTCTTTCTCTTAATATATGTTAGCAGCATCATATATGCCTAAAGGATTGAAGGTTGTCGGGTAAAAGAAGAGCATATTGATGCAGTTCACTCAGTCTGCTATTTTATTCCAACCGTTACTCCTGACCAGACGCTTCCGTAAATATTTAGTTTATACGTAGAGTTACACTTCAACTACGTGTAATGGTGCAACGAAAAAATATTTAGTGGTGCGTAAGTTGTAACTTAGTGCCCATTTACGTCAAAATTAGGCTAAGTTGTTACTTACGTACAGCTGGTGCAACCGGCCCCAGATCTCTATATAGATATGGTTCACTTACAATCTTTCTGTTTCTATAGTTCTCGTTCTATCTCTTCACATACACATATTTTCTCTCTCTCTTTATCTGTGTGTCACACTCTCTCTCTCTCTCTCTCTCTCTCTCTCTCTCTCTCGCTCTCTGGCAGAAGAGTTATTTACATCTCTAATGCTTTCATCTGGTATTCCCTTTGTGTCATTGTTGTGTACCCACAAATTCTCTAAAGTCACATCTTAGAAGTCTTCGCTGGCTTAACAAAGACATTCTGTTTTCACCGTTTTGATTTTCTCTTTCGTCCCTCATATCTCATGTGGTCTCAAATGCGTGATGATGGCAGTGGAATGATTATAGACTTTATGAGGAAGGGCAAAGACCCCGGTATGGTTCTGGTCCAGACTGCAGGCCTGGGCGGCACTCTGGGGACATCTAGATATAATATATTATAGCGAGGCACTTCAGAGGAAGTCACAGACGCCTGCTTGCTGTAGCTAAGCCTTTGAAGCTACTTGAAGTAGAAGAGCGCCATTGTCCTCAAAACCCTGTAGGCATGTTGCAGGAGAGGGAGAGAGACAGAGAGCTTGAAAGAGAGAGTTCAAGAAAGAGAGAGGGAGACTTTTGGAAGGCACTGTAAATGTCATCCCCATGTTGACGCAACACAAAATTCAATGGCCACTCGTGTCTCAATTTGTCCCTTTTGTCCTCTCTGAAGTGCATACAGATATAGTGTTTAGAGCTGTGTGTGTGTGTGTGTGTGTGTGTGTGGGTGTGTGTGTGTGTGTGTGTGTGTGTGTGCGCGCGTGGAGGATTTGTGTGTATATGTCCGTCATGCACCTGTTCAGACTTAGACTGCTCTACCATGGCAGACAGATTAAAGTGCAGTGTAACAGAGGCTGGTAAACTGCAGTAAAAGTGTCCTGTAATGACACTGGATTATTCATAACTGTTTTTAGCAGCTTTACAGCAAGACAAAAGACAACTGTAGGGAAGGAGAGTTTTTATGTAGGAAAGAAGAAGAATGCTTCTCATTGTGAACACCAAAAGAGAGAGATCATGAACAACAATAAAAAGTAAAATAAAATAATGTAAAATTTTACATTATGCATTTAAGCAAATACTTTTGTATAATATACACTGAAAACATATATAGAAAAGTTTTCACTCTAGTAAATTGCTAGTAAATTTCACAATACATTACAAAAACAGCAAGTAACCCATTTAATTAAATGAGATATTTTGAGGTAGAAATAAGGATTACATTTTCTTGTAAAATGTACATCTGTAATCTTTGTTTTATTTACAACTTAAGAAAATTATATATATATATATATATATACATATGTATATGTATATATATTAGTGTTGTCATTTTATATAATTTTATGTCATATTCATATATTAGTGCTGTATTTACATGTCTATATTTATATTCATATAATTTATATTATAAATAAATATATTTGATATGTAAACATAGCATACTTTTCTGAAATATATGCATGCATGTGTGTGTATTTATATATACATAATAAATATACACAGCACACATACATATATTATGTAAACAAAAACTTTTATTTTGGATGCGATTAATCGTTTGATAGCACTAATATATATATATATATATATATAGTCCTGATGTTCCTTAATAAAATAAATAATAAATATTTATTTTTATTTAAATAAAAATAAATAAAGTCTTTCTTGTTGATGTTTAAAAAAAAAGAAGATATTTTTAAAACAGGGTTAACTGTCCGTTCTGGCCAAACCATCATGTAATACTCATGTATTGGTCTCAAGGGCTAAAGTAGCCTTTCCGGTTTAGACT